ATCAGGGGGAGCTGCAGGAATGGTGTCTACAGGCAAGGACAGCATGTGGAGACCCCCTGCTCTACCTTTCTCAGGGGCTGCAAGGACATACCAGCCACTTCCAGGAGCAGCAATTACCATAGGGATTATGACTCCAGCCATGACAGGTTCGGCATTTTAGACTCACTGCTCAAAGAATTAAATGTAAGCGTAAGAGAGAAATGAAAATTATGAAATGCACAGACCAGTCAAAAAACAAAAATAACATACAGGCAATCCCCGGGTTACATCAATCCGACTTACGTCGGATCCCTAGTTACAAACGGGGGTTGGGGGTGCAGCTAGTGCGGGGTGCCTCCCCCACTGTCGCCACCTCCAGCGGTGTGGGGGGTGCTTCCCCCCAGCAGACTAGGGAGACGCTGAGCTAGCCCCCTTCCTCCCTCAGCAGACCAGGGAGACGCGGAGCAGCTTTTCTCGCCGCGGAGGACGCGGGCGGTGGGGCCGCGGAGGACGCGGGCGGTGGGACCCCGTTCGTAAGTAGGGATCCGACGTAAGTCGGATCCATGTAACCCGGGGACTGCTTGTTCTTACGCAATGTAGACACAGACAAAGGCCTACATTTCCAGCAAGCACCCACTGAGTTTGGGTGCCTACTCTGAGAAACCCTCAGCCTGAATTTGAGGTGCTGAGAACTCACAACTTGCAGTAAGGCTGAGAGAACTGCAGGATCATAATGCTGTTGAAAATCAAGTCCCAGACATCTCAAGTTGGGCACCAAAACACTGAGGAACTAAAAAGCTAACATCCATATTGTTCTGATGAGATGAAAAAATTTCTCCCTGTATTCTTTATTTCCGTATATTTATGTCTGGGTCTGTTTTGTTTGCATTATTGATTGCGTGTCTGTGTGTCTGTTTGATTTTATAAAAAGAAAACATGTTCCTTATTTTCCCATCTCACTAGCTCTGGCATTTCTGGTTAATTTAAGACTATTTCATTCCTTTGCCTTTTCTTTAATTTACCTTGCATGAAAGAAAATCTCAGAGTAGTAGCCGTGTTAGTCTGTAACTTTAAAAACAGCAAGTTAGCACCAGTTCTACAATTGACAAGTACCCTTTTTTTTTCTTACCTTCTTCTTCTGTTATAAAGTCTGGGTTCCTGTTATTTCCATTCCAGCGTCCAGCTTATCTGAAGACGTGGGTGTTTCCCATGAAAGCTCATGATACAATATATATTTTTATTAGTCTCAAAGGACATGTCTACGCTAGGAAATTATTTCAAACTAAATTATTTTGAAATAATAACTCCTGAAATAACTATTTCGAAAAAGTGTGTCCATACTACAGGGAAGCCTTGAAATTAGTGTGAGGCAGGTTCCCTTAATGTGGATGCGCTACCTTGACTTAGAGCCCCAGAAAAAACTGGGGAATAATTACTTTGAATGGCTCTGGGGAGTAGTTATTTTGAAATAGTTATTTCACTGGTGCTACAGGTAGTCCCCGAGTTACGCGGATCCGACTTATGTCGGATCCGCAGTTACGAACGGGGATTTTCTCGCCCCGGAGGACTCGAGCAGCGGGACGCCTGGTCCCGCCGCCCGCCTCCTCCGGGGCGAGAAAAGCTGCTCCCCATCTCCCTGGTC